GGGGGGTACCCCCCCCACAAAAAAAAACAAAAAAACATGGAAATGGTTTCTTATATCAATGGTAAAGTTTAAATTTATGATTAAAAACAACAAAATAAACTTAAAAGGTGAAACAATTGTCCTACACCTGTACTGTTGATGTAACTTTAAGTAACTGAGCAATTTAGTTGGATAGCACAGCATTAATGTCTGAAACTAAGCTGCTTTAAAGTCGGCATCAAACATAAACTAAATCTGCCATAATGCATAATAGCTACTTACTAGAAACTCATCAGCGAGTAAAACTTTATTAGTTTTTCTTTTATTATTTCTGTATTTATTTCAGATTAGTCAGTCGTGCAATTAGTTCCTATCAGTGTTTAAAAGAGGACGTGTTAAAACACTGTTTAGTCAAAGTTAAACATGAAACATCAAAGTTCATTACAAATGGCCCTTCAAGGGYCACCATAATGCTCATGTGGCCCTCGGTGAAAATGAGTTTGACACCTCTGTTCTAGTCTGTCCCTATCAAGCCCTTGYCTGGGGTGGCCTCACTGCTCGCAGCCCGTCTACCACTGTTGGGCCATTGTGCATCTGCTTGTACTAGTAACCATTTTAAGATGTCTGAAGTGCTAACATAAACTCTGTGTTGRGAGGGCGTTGTCAACAGCAGCATATTTGCATAAACGGATCATTCTGAAGGGAGCTCAGAACAGACAGAACTGAACAGGTGAAATCTCATCATCTGAAAATGATTTTGTGGTTTAAATCTACTGAACATGTTTTGWATAGCCCACAGATGTATCCCTAACTTATTAAAGAAAACAAAATAGGTCCTCTTTAAATAAAATTACACGGAGTCGCAAAACCAGTTAAAATTTAAAGATTTGCTCACTAGCARGTACTGATCCTTTCTTTTACATTTCAGTTTCATGCGTTGATATATTTCATATTAGTTTATCTGCTGGAGTTTGTCACAGTGTTGTGGGTGCAGATCATACACACACGAAAAGGTTTTCCTTTTGCTCTTAGAAGTAAAATAGTTCATTTACTACAGTTTTTGAATAATTTCCACCTCGTCACAGTGCAAACTCCATTAAAGTGATTTTCACACGCRCTAACAGTGAGTGTCTGGTGCAGATTGTATCTGCAGAAACTCCTTCAGACAGGCAGGTGTCAGCAAGAGGTTCTCTCTACAAGTTAAAAATTTACTACTACATATACTGCCACTGGGTTAGAGTACACACGAGGCAGGACATGAAGCAAATAACATATTGTGTAATAAGGTGGCGTTGGTAACACAACAACAAAAGTGAATAAAAAGCTCCATATTTTTCTGTAATGTCAATTTTGCTCTTGAAATCTGTGCTGCATGTTTTTGACAAATTGATAGATAATTAAAAAGATCAAAGAGCTACTGTTCATTGACAGAGAAAACGTCGCCTGCCGCTTCTTTTAAGAAATGATGAAGTTGTAGCTGTTTTTGGCCAAACCTTGAATGACCCTCAGCTACTACCACATTAAATACTGAGCCAACAGTGGAGAAAAGTGTGTGACAAAACTTTCAATGTGAGCTCAGATTTTTATACTTTTTGACACTATATGGCTGCTCGCTGTAAATGGCTTCATCAGTTAGTAAAGGTTTTGCCTGGATTTAGGCAAACAATCRTTTTTTTAACATTTTGGCACCAATAAAACAATCTGAAGCCAAATATTGTGTGGTTATGGTCAAATCTTATATAATCGGTCGAAGGCAGGATTTTTCTCCCCTGTCGCAGAGGCGGGGGACTTAGAAATGCTCTCCGTCCATTGGTTCATCTGTTACAATTTCAGAAAGCTGTAACAGTCCTAATCCACCGCACTACAGGAATGCAGTACAATGTTTGGAGGGCGTGGCCTAATTACATATAACATTGATGACATAATTTTGGCTGTAAATCACACATRCATGATCTGATCTGAACTAAATTTTGTGTTAATCATAAGGGAGACTTGCTTGACACATTAGTGTAGTACTTTGACAAGATCACTTTAGCCCTCCGTTTGTCTGTCCATCAGTCTTTCAATCCATCCGTCTGTTCACCTTATGAGATTGTTTAAATAATGAAGGTCTGTGATGAGTCCAACAAAATGGTTGGTCACTACTGAATGGCGATGGGGGACATCAGCAACGGTTGGTGTTGTTAGCATTAACATTGAATTCTGAGTTTGTGTCTAGGAGGATTTTTGTTAGAATTTTTTTATATACCTGGAAGGGATGTACGGGGTTAGACGATGAAACTAAAACACCTGTCATTTTAGTGTGGGAGGTTTTATGGCTAAATTGGACCAGAATCTTCATTAACTACACATTGCACCAATAAGAACAGAATGTGAAGGTTCAATTAACAGGGTAAGAGCACAGTTTTGCTCAAAATATTGCAATGCACACAACATTATGG